TTCCCAAGCTTTAAACATCTTAAGGAGCACTGTGCAAGCAATTGAAATGGAAGGAGTATCAAACCACTGCAAATCTACCAAGACCCGGCCGTCCCTCCAAACTTTCATCTCAAACAAGGAGAAGACTGATCAGAGATGCAGCCAAGAGGCCCATGATCGCTCTGGATGAACTGCAGAGACATATGGCATGACAAAAAGTCATGCCATAGAGGGCTAACTGGAGTTTTTTATTTGTTAAAAAAGTTTAAATTATCCAACAAATTTCATTCCACTTCACGATTGTGTCCCACTTGTTGTTGATTCATGACAAAAAATTAAAATGTTATATCTTTATGTTTGAAGCCTGAAATGTGGCGAAATGTTGAAAGGTTCAAGGGGGCCGAATACTTTCGCAAGGCACTGTAGGTTCAAGTGGGAATGTTGTCCTTCGTCTGGTTTAACCAATACCAAGGCAACAGAACCACAAGTTGATCTTTGACAACTCGTTCACTAGTGTTCCTCTCATCCTCACACTTGCTCAGGAGGGAAAATACAGTTTTGTTGTGATTCCTTTGAATCACTTTTGAATCAATTTTCATAATTTTAGTACAATCCAAGCAACAAACCAATATCTGGTTGAGGGGGGTGTGGGGGGCAAATATTGTAATTGATCTGTTATCAGAGACCCATAAGCTCTAAAAAGGTGGTTTATATTTTTTTCTCAAAAACAAAAAGTCATGCCATAGAGGGCTAACTTTGGTTTTATTTTGACAACAGTTCTCTGTGGTTTGGTTTTAGTTTGACTTCCTGTCCTGTTCCCCTGCCTTTGATATTCTGCCCCGCCCTCATGTGTTGCGCCTGTCTCTCTGTGTCTACTGTATATGTACCTGTGCTCCTCTCCCTTTGTTGCTGGTCCATTGTCTTTGCCAGTCTATGGTCCTGAGTTTCATTTGGATTTTGGGTTTGTTTTTACCCTGGACTTTTATTGTGTTATGTTCATGACTTTGACTTTTATATTCATTAAATTATATTTTTTCGGGTCCTCCCATCACTTCACCACATGACACAAGGATCTAGCTGTCGGGACAAATGCCAGGTATTATTTGTAAAAAAAGTTAGGTACCCCAGCTTTAAGACTATTCAAGATTAAACTAAGCTTTCTCTTGGGAATAACTCACTGTAGATATTTAATTGTATATTTTAATTAATTAATCTGCACACATATCTAATCCAAGTTTTCACCACTTTTACATACCCACTTTAATTGACTATTTCATATTTAACCCTAAAAACAAACAAACTTATAAAAATACAGATACTTCAATTGTCAAACTATGATACAAACCTGGCGTTTAAACCCGGGCCGTCATGCCCATGTGAATTTTCTCCAATAACATGAGGTTCCAGAGCTCCAGGATGAATCTAACCAGGTCTTTATTTAATCCATCGGCTGAAAGCTTATCCCGCAGCAGCATCTGAAGACATTCCGATATCAACTCCAAATGCGCTGGTTCCCTGACGTTCCCATGGCGACCGCATCCACCGCCTGTGTTTTTTCATAATGAGCTCCGAAAAGGCTGCATCTGCTCCAGTCTCTCATCACACTCCATCCTCAGAGCACTGCAAAACCTTATTATACCTGCGTTTCATATAAACGTGTGCGAATGAATGAGTTATTGTTGGACATTTACTGGAAAGAGAAAAAAGATCAAAAATAGAAGCTAAAAATGACTAATTGACAAATTATTATGATTATCATTAAATTCTAAATAACACAATTCATTAATGTATTTCAATTGTGTTCATGGAGTTTGAGTCTAAAGACACTTTGTAAGGAGAAATACATTTGTAAATATATATTAAACCTGTAAATACACAGGTACACACATGATGAATTTATGGCAAATACAGCTTCTCGATTGCAGATTATTAGCATGTGCTAGCTGTTAGCTTTGTTTGCTAGCATCTTAAGAATTATTTTAAATTTGTATATATGACATAGATGATCGTTTATAATGGGATAAAACAGCCTGTAAATTGTTAATGGGAAAAAAACAGTATTATAATGGTTACAAAAAAAATCCTAATTGGTCGTCAACTTGATATGATATATACTTGAAAATAATCTTCTATAAAATGTATTCACAAGTTTTTAGATTTCTTTTTACAGTCTTATTCCAATTGATTTGGATTTAAAAAATGTGAATTTACAAATATGTTAGCAGCACTGGATGACGAAAAGTTGTATGTAATCCTGTCTATTTTCATTTTTTAAACTGCTTGTCGCTATAAGACTGAACAGAATAGACCTACATATGAGACAACATGATATGAGTTCGACAATTCTTAGATCCTAAAAATCCTCTAAATCAGAATTTGAAGCAAAGCCGCTTTTCTTTGGCAGGGTTTGTTGGCGGCCTGATTTTGGGACCTCTCCCTGTGTTATATTTTTATCCCCCATCTGCGCGCTCACATCTCTTGAAATACTCCGTTGAAAAACTGCTTCTCCGCTTTGTTCTGCGACAGTTTAAACACAACCGTTGTCAAAAAACCCTTGCTCTGCTTTCCTCTTCTGTTCCATCGTTCTTTTTCTTTCTAAAAACAGATTGCGCAGGGAAATGTTTTAGGCACAGATGCTGCCGGTCGCTGTGATCTGCCACATTAGCTGCACACAGACAGACGCTGAGCTGTCATTGGCTACGACCCCAGAGGCAGTAATGAAACGACCAATCAGAGGAAAGATCACATATGCTCAGTCATGGACCATTAGATTGATAGATTAACCTTTAAATAATCAACTTTTTATTTGTTGCCACTTGTCCCTGTTTAACCCGATCTCTGAAGCTTCTCTTTTCTTTGAACATGACTTTTCTGGTGAGGTCCATGTTTTAAACTTACTATTAGTTGATCCTTATTTCAGTGTTTTTCAACCAGTGGGCCGTGGTACGAATGTTTGCCTTAAATTGTTTGGTGTCGCCGTAAGAAATATTCCACCATATCCTAATGGGTCAAAATAATGTGAAAAGATGATATAGTCTTTTTTTGTGATTTGTTTGATTTTCAATAACAAACTTTGATGACTTTGCTTTGTTTATAATGCAGCCTCATTTTGGTTTCAGTTTCAGCTGGTGGTGGACCGTGCAACTGTTTTTGACAAAAAAGGTGTGCCACGCCTCAAAAAGGTTGGGGATCACTCCCTTATTTAACACTCCACCCCATTTTAATAAAGACACAATATAGGCTCCCCAAACTTTGGAACTCTACTGCTTCATCTGTGGCAGTGAGACTCTCTAAACATTTTCAAATCACATTAAAACCTTCCTTGTTGATAATTTTTTGTACTATGTATAATGCATTTTATTATATTGTCTGTGATGTTTTTAATCTATTGAACGGCGCAATTTAAAATATATATATTATTATTATTGATGCACATTTCAATTATTGAAGATGAATTATTAAGGTCAAAATATAAGAAAATGAAATAAAAAAAATTGAAAAAAATTGAAAGAATTGGAAAAATGATTTTAGAACTACTTTTTTTTTGTACACCCCTTGTTATTACATTTTATTCTTTCATACAGTAGATAATCCCAGTCATGTGTTACCCATCAGGCATCAGCATAGCGTGACTTCTTCATGATGATTAAATCCATCAATTATTAAAATAGAATCATTAGACAGAAGTATGTGTCTGGCTCGGACCCTGGTGAGTCTCGTGGGAGTGAGGACTGAGGAAGTGAAGGACTTAAGAATTTTAGATCTCCAGGTTTGACAGATGCTCATGTCCCTGTCAGAGGAAAGACAAAAACATGACAGCGGTTTGAACCTGATTGACAGGACCGATTCAAGATGATGGAATTCTATTGGACTTCCTCTTCAGAGACGGCAGCCGGCCCCGTGTGGCTTTAGGACTGGAGATTTCAAACTTGTATTAACTATCAAGGATAGTTCTTTTACATTTTTTTGCAAGTCTCCAAAGATTTTATTTTATCTAATTGAATGTTTTAAGAGTTGTGCTTGCGTCTTGTCTGTGTATGTGTGTGTGTGTGCTTTGTATTTTGGTGTATGATTGATAGGGGTTAGATCCAAATAAACTGTTTGTTTGTTTGTATATATATTCATTTCAGGCATTTCACATAAGGCACAAGTCACCTCTTGTCCATCATAGTGAAACGGTGGCTTAGGTATTAGTAGGCAATTAGTAGGGCAAGTTTATTTGTAAAGCATAATTCATACACAAGGCAACTCAAGTACACAGAAATAATCACACTACACTATTACTGCTACTAATAATGCATCGATTTGATATGTTACGGACAAAGTCATTTTGATTTTGTATATTGTGTTTCTCCTTGCCTCCACCTGTCAGACCCTCCCACCTCCAGATGAGTGACGTCCCACTCACACCTGTGGGTAATCAGCTGGGAGGCATAGAGGGCCGGGATCGAGACCAGGCTCGCTCTCTCTGCCACTTCGACCGCCTGTTGGACCAGTGGGTCCTGTGTCTGTACCTCACCCCTTTTGGTGCATTTTGTTTTGTGATCTGAACAGTGGTTCTTTTTTGATAAACCATTTAATTTTGGACCTCCGCCTCCCGTCTCTGTTCCACACCCGGTTTTATTTTTGTTACTGAGCCACACTTCTAGACACCACCACCTTTTGGCTCGTAATATTATACAACGCTTTTTTGGACACTGCTTCACAAGTCATTATTCATTCACTCCATACACAGTGTTGATAAAGAAGTACTGTAGCCACATCTGCCCTGGGTAGACTGACAGAAGCAAGACAACCCACCACCAACCAGTCACACACACAACAGATTAATTCTGGCTAATGTGGGTGAAGTGTGAACAACAGGAGTTTGGCACTTTACAGCCATCCCACAGTTGAATGAAAATACAGAAATACGTTTTAAACACAATTGAGAGAACTTTGCTTTTAAATATTCTCAATAATACTCTCATTGATCAGGTTTGGAATGGCACATACATATAAGAGCCCTTGTTAGGGTAGACATGCAGATGAGCTCCCACTCGTTGGTCCAGTCCCACGCTGCCGTCACTAACACCACATTAAAACACTTTCCCGGCTCCCGAGGTTCAAAAGGTGTTTGCTAAAAGCTTGTCTTCACTCGCCGGTCGACGTGTGTCTTTTGGTTCTTTCGCCTTTCTGTCGTTGGCTCGTCAAACCCCCGGCTGCTAAAATGACTTCGATCGTTCACAAGTTTAATGGATATACGTATTTTAAAATGTCTTGGATTTACAGATGCAGAGGAGCAGGTGAATCTCCATCATTCTCAATATATTCACAAAGAAAAGGCCATATTTAGATTTGTTTGTATTTTAACTTTTCACCATTTTGCCCTCTTGTAAATGAGATAATACCAAATTTGTCTCACTAATCAAAAAAAAATCAGACCAAAACTTAATTATTGTAATTATAATAGTAATAGTAATAATTATAGTGAGTTATGAATGTATATTGATTAAGAACTATACTATTGCACTTAGATTGAAACCTAATCGGAAAGTGCTCATGGAGAAGGTTTTGCTGAACTCGGTTTGAAGCTCTCCTGGTGCTTCTATTATGTTATTGTCTCCTTAAATCCAGATTTGAGCCATATAAAGTTTGACCAAGCAGATGCCTTCATTCGCCGGGGAAACTCCAGCTTTCCATAGCAACCAACTTAGCAACACGTCCCAGTTACGCGGCGAAGCTGACGCCATCGAAACAAATGCCCTTATAAGGAAACTGGCTCCAGCTAGCTTATGTTAAAATCCGCTTCTTCCTCACTATAGTGACTTTCTGTCCGTCCAATCCTAGTATACGGTGTAAGTTCGGGACATACTGCGTAATATATGTAATTGATTTATTATAATTTTCTGCCTTTAAGCAATGCTATTTTTTTATCTTTTCAGTCCATTCATTACAATTTAATCACTGCTCCAAACGCCACAGTCTCTCTCTTTTTAATTGTTTTCATATTTTTGTCCCCAATCAAACATCCTCTTTGCGTTTCAGAAGTATAAGGATCTCCCGCGGCCTAAATCTGGGGTTAAATTGAGTTATGTGTGTTTTTGTGCGAGACATTAAACTAATGATAATTACAGCTGCGGTTATCGAGCTTGTTTATCTCAGTGACATCTGTTTGCTCTCATCATGGTCTGAACACCCAGCAGCAAAAACAAAACAAAGAACAAATAAAGCAGAAATGACACGGCTCCTGCTCTAAGTCCCATTTTTAATTTATGGAAACTAGGAGGGATTCTGTATCAAATTCATTCTGTGATAAAACATTCAGTCGCGGTGTCACTGTATGAAATATTGTCCCCTATAATGTTGCATGCTATTGTCTACATTTGACTTGTTTTATATATTTCGAACCTGCACAATACTTATTTTTACATACTGTATATCAATATAACAGGCAAACACACGCTCTGACAACACACAGGCCAAAACACTCTCCGACCCGACACCTCTCTCCCAGACTTGCTCTCTGCTTAAGGCATCACTCTCTTGCTTCAACACATCTCTTCAATACATATCTTTTAAACATTCTTTTCAATTTAATCAGGTTTGAGCATGTCTTTAACTGATAAATCATTCATTCATTTTTAAAGTAGTCCCACATTTAGGCTCATACACTTTTTTTAAATTTCTTTTTAATTCTGTATTCCCAGAGATTACAGCCAGGTTGTTTGAGATGCAAATGCCTTTAAAACAAAAATGTCATACATATAGTTTTGGCAATTTTCTCAAGTGAACGTATGCTTTTTACAATCACATGGCTGTGTTTGTATTTGGCAATTTTTGAATCTGATGTGACAAGACACAGGCCCAAACACTCTCCGACCCGACACCGCTCTCCCACTACTCGCTCTGTGCTCAAGGCATCACTCTCTATCTTCCACATTTCATTTAAACATTCTTTTCATTTTATTCAGATTTGAGCATGTCTCTAATTCATCTTCTCCACCGACTCCCACTTGTGTCTGCTGCAGTTGTGTCCTTGGGCAAGACACTTAACCCCCCCACACGTTGCCTGAAGCCCTCGCTGAGAGATCAAGGCTGTGCTATCACTGACAGAGCAGAGGGAAATAAAAAAAAAAATCCGTACAACTCCAAATAATAAAAATATAATATAATTTCCAGACAAGCAACCTAATTACATCCCCCAGCTAATTCACACTCAAGCACTCTTTTTGAATATTAAAAAATGATAAAATCAAATCAAAAACCGAGATTGATCAATACAATTAGTCTAAATGTATTCTTTACGCCCAGATTTCCCAGCCCAATGTACAGTACACAAAACCCTGCATATTTTTTCCTTTCTACTTCGACGCTGCTGTGATGGCGTTGACATTTCTTGCCGAGCGTCACTCTTCATCTTTATTAGTCATAAATGTCACAAAACCCATTTCACATTTGCAATTATAGTTTATTGAGTGCTCTTCGCTTTGAAAGATGCTTCCTGGTGGGAACCTCTGTGTAAATACAGTCGTGCACCTCTGCTATAGGTCAACGTTGTTATTATAGTTTTACCTTTGAGATTATTGGCTTTGACATTTCCACGATTGATTATTTCATCAACCAGTATTCAAAATATACGTTTCACATCCGCAGGACAATTCGCAAGTTAATAGTCATTTTTGGCCTTGATTTTTTCTTTTTTTTTTTTTACTAATATGTTTACATTTTGATATTGTACATGGGAACAAAAACGGGTCTTTCTCTACACATATATATATTTTTAAGCCTTGACTTTATTGTAGTTTGTTGTTTATTGCACAGGGACAATGTAAAAGTGTTATTCTAAACAAATAAATAAAAAAATAAAAAAATGTTGCATTGTTCCAGACTTCATCTCTCTGAGCGAATTCCCAGCTGCATTTATCATGTCTGGCTGGTTTTCCTCTGGGCGCCGCGGTTCTCTACATAGACTCTAAATACAAAGTTAATCCCTGAGACAAGTTCTGAGTGAGGCTGGCCGCAGATCCGACTGTTGCTTTGTGGTTGCACCTTTGAGACAGGACTAAAGTGATGAAAGAGAACATCAATCGTGTCTCTGCTTATGAATGTTAAACCATGATTGTTTTTGCTCAACATTTCTGCAATCAGCGTTTTATAAATAGTCGCCAAACTTGGATCTGGATTTTGTATCATTTTGTTTTAAACTGTGAAGAATTTTGGAGGAACATATCTATTCTCCACCTTCAAATCTAACTGGTGATGGTTATTCCAAGGGAAGGGAGCATATATGGAACATGTAAAATTAGAAAAGCGTTCCAAAGTCAATTTATTCAATTTCCTGCACTTTTATCATGTTTAAATCCTGTACTTCTTAGCTTGTTTTATGATTATGTACTTCTGTGGTGCGCACTGGGCACTTTTACACATACATTTCAATGTGGTTTTACTGCAAATGGTAAATAAAGTAATTCTGAATCTGATTTAGACCAGGCATCAGCTGTCGGGGGCCAGAGCTAATTTACTATGTTTTTTCACAGAGTTAATTTTTTAAGCATAAATATTTTATATCAAATAATATGTATTGCGGCAAAGCAAGGTGCATGAGTTCTGTAAGCAGCACAGAGGGATGTTTTAGTCTTAAACTGAGGAGGGCTCAAGGGCCTGACCCCCAAAGGGCCCACCACTGATCATAATATGTAAAGTCAAGGCTTGATACTTTCAAGCCTTGTTTCACTTTGTGTCTAGTGAGTCTGCCATATATTATCTTCACATTATAAGTTGAATTACAGAATAAAATGTACAATATTCAATTCTGCCCTAAATCACAACTGTAGTTGTTTGTTTGCCAATAGATCGTAGACAAATACATAAGATCCATGGTCCATAACAGGCGGATGACCAATGTTCATAAATGTTAACAAATGTCCTATAATGTCCTGGATCTTCACTCTTCTGCATTGGCAAAGAAAGACTCAAAAACCCAGTGGGAGAATGTGAGAAACCTCTGGGAGGCTCACATTAAGAGAAGGATCCACTCCCATGGACGGACAGGCTGTAGATCCAGGCTCAGGCTCTAGAGCAAGCATCGAAGCCGGGAGGGGGCTGCTGCCCACGAGTCCGGGCCGAGGGAAACCAGTGCAGATGAAAATATAAAAACATTAAAATTTTCGGATTTTCACCTGTATTTTTAAATGTATGTAGTTGTCGCTGGTCAAAAATATGCCTTAGCGCGAATGGAATTTACTGACATCATGTATTGAGTATCAAAATTCAATATCTTGTGGGGCTAAGTTTCACAAAATGGAGAAGTAGGGAGTACAAAAGTCAAAAAATCTCTTTTGAAAAAATATCAAAAGGCCTTAAATACTGTGAGCTGACCATCTGCTCTAGCATCAGTCAATCAATATAGTCTTATTACAGAAACTGCAAGATACCAACTAAACAAACAGAACTGAAATTGGATCCAGCCTTTTTTTTTTTTCCTCAGTCCAAACACACCATTTATAACCCAAAACTAGCACAGAACAGGAAAGAATAATGCATATTTTCTCTATTGTAAACTCAATTATAAATCACCATGACTTCCCATACGCTCTCATAGATAACTGCTCTTTTATCCAGGAAACCAACATATTTTCACACAAGAAAGAGAGAAGAAAGCCTTGATGTAACTAACAGCTGAAATGTTGAACCTTGATCCTAGAATGGAGAAATTATATGTGAATATTTCTGCATGTTTTTGAGCATTCTTTGTGCACTGCAGTTATTTTTCTTGTGTCTTTGTCGGAGCAGGTGCACGATTTGATTCCCACATTTTGTCTTCGTGGGCGTCTTCTGGTTCAGACTCTGGAAATAGATATTAAATGACTTCTGGTCACTGTTAACATGACACTTGACCTTCACTTCCAACACTTGCAAAAGGAGTGTATTAATTCACAGCAGGAGGAAAAGAAATTCTCCCACGCACCATTCTAAACGCAGAATCCTTGGAGAAGTGGTGCCGAAGTGTGTCCGAATGATGCTACATGGTCTAATAAAGATGACAGAAAAGTGCATTTACGGGAGCTGCATCGTTTCACTTGTTATTGTAACACAAGATGGTAAAGTAAAACTAATGAACGGAGATTGCAATAAAGATTCATCCACTGAAACACAATATATCGAGCGAGACGTCTAGTCAAATGGACCGCTCCAGGTTTGAGAGAGATTCAGATTCAATAACAACTAAAGTCCCATTCTCGCTGGGCAAAAAAAGAAGAAAGGGGATTTGGACCAAAAAACACTGGTCTCGTTTATACACTCTGAGGGACACAGGCTGGCGTGTCTAAACAACTCAGCATTTAACCCGCCTCACAAACTAGTCTTTTAGCTCATGGGGTCTGCTGTGTGAACACTCCGACACTCAAACTACACTCAAAGACCATTCCTGACAGCGTAACAAGACTGAAGCTCTCACCATCGAAGGTTAATGCTGTTCTGGTGCTGCTCACCATTTATATTGCTCTGCGTGGATAGATTAGATTTTTCCATTATACTGCAACGCCTATGTTTTTGTGTGATTTTTACAAGTCAGGAGCTTAATTTGACTCATTTTGACACTATCTTCTCCCTGGTGAAATAATTTAATTTAACATCTAAGATAAGATGATTTTTTCCGTAATGTTTTTTTTCTGTTTGGGGTTGTTCTTTTGTGTTTGTGTTTTATGTTGTTTTCTCGTACAATGGTGATGTGTTATTTGTTGTGTAACCTTTAATCGTCCCAAATGGTTTTCATTCCAACCAAACAGGAACAAAACAGACTCCACCCATTTCCTCAAGGCTTCAGGCTACGACTGGACTCACATTAGGAAAAAGTGTCTGATGTGCTCCGGTTTGGCTTTGCCCTTTGAGGACTGTGTTGAGTCTAATGATTGCTTGCAGCGTAAAAAAAAAATTCAAATAGGACACTTTGACGACAAAATAAATGTGATTTTCAAACTCTTTCCAAAAGTTTAAGAATTTATTCATTGATTTTACAATCATTTTCAACAGCTTGAATAATGTATAAGCCTCACAGGAAAACATTTCATTTCTGAACACCTGTGTGACCAATACAATTCAGTAAAGGTGTCTATTTGTGATCAGCGCGACCACCGCAGAAGCCAGGACTACACCTTAACTATTTATTTACAATTGCTATGCCTGTTCAATTACCGACTATTTGTTTGTGTCGCAATAGTGAGCTCCGAATCCTCTGTGCTGTAGCGGTGTCACATAAATGTTTTCCCTCGCTGTGAAATAACCAGGCCCATCTCAAAAAGCACATTCGTATCTCTTACCCAGCTCGCTCACTCACTCACTCACTCAGGCCGCATGTGCAAACAAAAGAGCCCTATCTTTTCCCACCACAGTCCTATCGGGAAATACAGGCAGGCGACCGACTGTAAATCTGTCCACTCAAAGGGAAAGAGCACTAAAGCTTTCGAGAGCGGATAGCACTACTTTGACAGCTGTGCCTATTTGGCCAGTTCAACACACACGCACTGGGTCATATTACATTTGATAGTGAAAGATGGAGGACTGGATAAACCTAAATGCAGATATTATGTAATGCGTAGATACACTGCAAAAAATGATGGAGTATGAGGTAATAATTGCTTGAATTGAGTGGGTTTTTTATCTTAATTTTTAGCCATTCTTGTCCTATTTCAAGAACTGTTGCTTTATTTTCTCATTCCAATGGAGACATTTCTTGTATCTTTTTAAATTCAGATAATTTTCCTTGTCCTATTGGCAAATCTTGTTTTAAGCAAGTCGATATGTGCTCAAATTAAGAATCATTTTGCCAAATTTGAGGATTTTTTGACAGATCTTTTTTATAATTTTTTGCAGTGTAAGGGGTAATGATATGAAGCTGCAAACTGAGCATCTTATATTAAAGTTGAAAAATTAAGGATGGGGAAACACCACAAAATAGAACTATATGTAATGCAATTCTTGCTAAAAGCTGGCTATAAAACAGTTTGGTGTTTTTGGCCTCTGTCACAACTTTTGATTTGCTTTTGTAGACAGAAAATTGACAAAAGAAATCCATCCGCCAATTGGTTCTCAACCCAAAGCTTCAATTAGTGACTTTTGATGAGGGCTAATCATCTACAGTATATGAGGACGAATGAACACAAGACCTACTTTTTTGAAATAGCAAAATGTATCAACACATCCATCCATCCATCCATCCATTTTCTTCCTCTTTATCTGTAGCCTGGTCACGGAGGCAGCAGTCTAAGCAGAGGCGCCCAGACTTCCCTGTCCATGCATGCTTCCTACTGCTCATCTGGAAGTGTCCAGCCGAGAAACATAGAGTGGTCTTCTTTACCATATAAGCAAAAATCTGGAGCCCTCGGGTACAAACTTTAAAACTGCTACTTTGTAATTCCATTGTGAGATACCTCAAGAAAACAATGTAAAAAAAATCTAAAAAGTATATATTAAAAAAAAGTTGTAAGTGAATTTAAGTAATCTTTAGAGCAATAGCATTTTTTTTAAAACCAAATTCTTGTCCTTTTAATTTCAGACTTCTTTGACAATCTGCAGATGCATTCTTTTGTTTTAAATCCTTGTGCTGTGTCTCCGAGGGCTCACTGACACAAACATGAGATGGCTCTGGTCTCCGCTCCTCCAGCCTATCCCCTGTCTCCCTTTCCATAGGTGAAGGAATAAATACAATGCACCAAAAACACATCCAAAATTGCCTTTTTGCACTCTCAAAGCAATATTCATTCACCCCACACACGGTAAACTACCTCTGCTGCCACAGCTAACCGGGGGAAGATGGCATTAGCAAGGCGACTAATGCATGTCATCGGCCTCTCCGACCATCACCAATCAATTACGGTTTCCTTTATAAGACTGCTCCACCTCCACAAGTGCTTTGGAGTAGAAATGGTTAGATATTTAGTATAGTTATTTTACGATTAAGATGAAGAGATCCTTTGTTTGTCCCACAGAGGGGAAATGTCAGTGTTGCATCACTGGTCACAGAAGAGCAGGAATAAGTAGCACACAAGATAAGATAAGTGAACAATGACTCTATACTAAAATAAAATAAAATATCTAACTTCTGCATAATAGAGAAAAATGTATAACATCTCTAGCTTTAGCATAATAAAAAGCAAGTATAAAATCTCTAGCTTTAGCATAATAAAAAGCTAGTATAAAATCTCTAGCTTTAGCATAATGAAGAAGAAAGAATTAAATATCAAATTATATATTATATCTTGATTGACTGGACATATTTCTGTTCTGCTACTATAATTTACACTGTAACATTGTAATTTTCCTTACTGTGGACCAAATAACGACCCTATTTTTTTGTGAGCTGACAATCTTGATATCAAATACGTTTTAATCCTCTATCTTCTACCTCTCTCTATCGTGTACTTTCAACACCTTGCCTTTCCTTGTGTTCCAGAGGGGAAGGTGGAGGTGACGAAGGAGGGAATGAAGCTGTGTACCATGGGCCCCGGGCGAGTCTTTGGGGAGCTGGCCATTCTCTACAACTGCACCAGGACCGCCACCGTGCGCAGTGAGTGAAGCAACACAACAACTACACACAGCGATACAACCGGTGAGGCCGCCATGCAACACGTGTCCTCACAGAAATATTCACACAGACACACTTAAAGATGGTAAAAGTGGATTGTCAAAAGGCACAGAGGGTGTATTTCAAATCTGCTTTTCCAAACACGTTACTTTAGTCACTATTTTCAGTTTTCATGGACGCTATCAAATTATTGAATCGTATGTGAAATCTGAAGAAGTCTCAAGGTTTCTCGAACAAGCTCAAACAGTATTATGCAAAGCGCACTTTTAAACTCTAATTTGCTTTCTCCATCCATTTCTGGATTTGGGGGGTCGGGGGTGGCAGTCAGACATGCTCTCAGTTCACAGATCCTCCTGCAGATGGTGAGTCTACAGAAGGACGGCGGCTCCGGTCTGAGCTGCCTTGATCTTTCAGCGGGAGGCTTCAGGCAAAGTGAGATTAAGTGTCTTGCCCAAGGACACAACGGCAGCAGACATCAGCGGGAGTCGTAAAAGTAGGTCTCGTGGTGGGCTCAAACCCACGACCTTCAGGCCCATTTCCACTGCTCTACCAACTGAGCCACTGTCGTCCTAATTTGCGTTCTCTCATTTACAAATTCTTAGAAGTTTTTCAGGCTGAAAACATATATTTTTAGCTGTGCATACAACGGATTCAATTCTGTACTATTTTTTGCTTTTATCTCCCTTTTTATCTCCCAGACACCCCGGCACGGTGGCTGAGTGGATAGCACTCTTGCCTCTCAGCAAGAAGGTCCAGGGTTCGAATCCCGGTTGGACCAGGGCCTTTCTGAGTGGAGTTTGTATGTTCTCCCCGTGTCTGCGTAGGTTTCCTCTTAGTACTCCGGTTTCCCCTACCACTATAAACATTTCCAATAGTTCTGGCATGCGCCTCCTGTATTGGCGTCCCTGCTCCTATCTCTGTGTGGAGTGAGAGACAAATGCCCAAAAATAACAATTGTAAACCGCTTTGAGACTCAGATCTGCAGTGAAATGCCCGTATATAAATAAAGATTACTACTACCATTACTACTACTTTTTAAACCCACTGATTGGAAATACTGCCTTATTACTACTGTTTAGTCTTGACTCTAGGCCACAGCAGGAGGCCAGTCCCTGTGCTCCTCAGAGTCCCAGCATGGAGGCCAGTCCCTGTGTTCCTCAGAGTCCCAGCAGGAGGCCAGTCCCTGTGCTCCCCAGAGTACCGGCAGGAGGCCAGTCCCTGTGCTCCCCAGAGTACCGGCAGGAGGCCAGTCCCTGTGCTCCCCAGAGTACCGGCAGGAGGCCAGTCCCTATGCTCCCCAGAGTCCCAGCAGGAGGCCAGTCCCTGTGCTCCTCAGAGTCCCAGCAGAAGACCAGTCCCTGTGCTCCTCAGAGTCCCAGCATGGAGGCCAGTCCCTGTGTTCCTCAGAGTCCCAGCAGGAGGCCAGTCCCTGTGCTCCCCAGAGTACCGGCAGGAGGCCAGTCCCTGTGCTCCCCAGAGTACCGGCAGGAGGCCAGTCCCTATGCTCCCCAGAGTCCCAGCAGGAGGCTAGTCCCTGTGCTCCTCAGAGTCCCAGCAGAAGACCAGTCCCTGTGCTCCTCAGAGTCCCAGCACGAGACCAGTCCCTGTGCTCCCGAGTCCGAGTTGGTTCATGTGGCTCTAACATTTCACAGATGTACTTTGGAGCGAGGAGAGACTTGTACACAGACCATCCAAATGTTCTTGTTTCCCCGTGAAGCAAACACAAATTTATCTGAACAAATTGTAATTCGAGTCATTACGCAAAAACGTTAGCTCCACATGAATGTCTTTTACTTGAAAGCAAATGGGCTTTTTCCCACAGTGTTAGTCTGAGTCCAGTTTTTTGCAGTGTGGGAGTTTAGTTTCTGTCACTGTCCAAAGTCGCTCTAACTTTTTCCTGTTTGTTCTTCACCGTGCGCCGTTACCAGGCAACAGCGTTTCCCTGGCAACAGCTTTGGGTCCGAAGCCTCGTCTCTTCATATTGTTTTAAAGCCTTTTTTACGGGCCGTGCTGATTATTTCATTAACTTAAAGCAAAGAGACAGGTGATTTTATGAACAGAGAGATATGGATAACAAATTTGCCTCAGGGTCGTAAAGCTGTTTTATTTGTATATGCGCGCAGTCACGATTTTAATGAGGAAGAAGCACAGAAACACAGGGTTTGAATTGAGTTCTTCACAGGAACATGAATAATTTACAAAGCGGCAGACGGTTGTCAACTGGAGTTTAGTGTTCGCTTTTTATAATCACAGATAAAAGTGGAGTCATTTTAAACTTTACTTTGATTCAAATTGATAAACACTACAGCTATCACCGCTAACTTTTGCAAGAAGTTGCAAGTAGTTACAAATAGTTGTAATAGTAGTAGTATTAGTAGTAGTCGTAATATTAGTAGTAGTATTAGTAGTAGGAGTAGTAGTAGTAATAATTGTAGTAGTGATATTATTGTAGTGGTGGTAGTATAAATAGGCATTTCTACATTTATATTGCTAAATTTATATTATTGTGTTGTATTGGAATAAATAAATAGATAAATAGATAAATAAATAATTAAATAAATGAATGATTGAATGAATGAGTAAAAATATTAAAAAAACATAAACGTCTGTTGTTAGAATTCTCTGTAGATCTTTTACTTTTCTGTAAAATGTTAGTTCTCGGTTGCGTTTTTGACTATTACCCAAAGTTGTTTTCCTCCATTCATTGGAAACAGCTTTTTCACTCTTACAATCATCTCCAACATTGTTTTGACTCTATCTTCTGCAGCTCAATACTCACAGTCACCCCCCACGGCGCAATGCATTATGGTTTTACACAGAGTAAATAGACCATTACACTGGAGATTGGGACAGCAGGGCCTCCAGGCAGGTTATGAGCCGGATCTGTGGAGAATCCCTCTTGCTCACAGCTTGCCAAAGGTTTGAGCAAAACTTTTAAATGACATTAAAGATATCGATGCGTTTGATTCCACACACGGGAATTCCAGGCTCAGAAATAACATATATATTATCTACCGTCTATACTGAGGGTACTTGTATGTAGTAGTAATTTTAATTTTATGTAGATTTTATATTTTTTCTTAATGCACGCCATATTCTATTTTTACTTCTACAACAATTTCCTAGTTTGTGACTTCATTTAACTCACAATGGCTACAAAAAAATCTGATTCTAATTATCGCCTTATTTTCAATACTGTTGTCTAATGCTGCTATTTAATTTGTATTATAATATTAGCGGCACGGTGGCACAGTGGTTTGAGCTTGTATTTCACAGCAAGAAGCTCCTTAGTTCGATTCCACCTCTAGGCCTTTCTGTGTGGAGTTTACCTGTTCTCCCCGGGTCTGCGTAGGTTTTCTCCAGGTGCTCCGGTTTCCCCTACCACTAAAAACATGAACAATAGGTATGAATGTAATGAGTGAGATGGTGTTGGTTGGGGTTGGGGCCAGTGTGCTCGGCGTCTCGCTTCTGTCTTTTTTGGAGAGAATGGAAATATATCTGAACGTGGGTCTTCTCAGTAACTTTCATAAAAACATTGCATTTACAGGCTGTCCGTTCTGACTGCAGAGTAAGCTGTGAGAGCTGGAGCGGTAAAGACCCTGCAGGTGTTTCATTCCACAGCTCTCCTCCTCAAGATTAACTCAGACAGTTTATACAAGCCCAAAGACACTCTGGAATATGTGTCTTTAAGATATTGACTCAATTTGGCGATATTCATGTTCATTTTATATTATCTTTATGCAGTACTCAAGCTGTAGAGCAAATATGATTACGTTTTGTGCCAAGGGGCAAATCTAGCGTTTATGATTTGTAAAAGTTTTATGTGCAAAGTGTTGAATTGTCCTCAAATAATCTATAAACAAAGGGAAACATGATTTTTTATATCTGTCACATACAGGACATGTTTTTGTGTGGATAAAAAAAAAAGTAGTAGCAGTAGTAGTTGTAGTAGCAATAGCAGTAGTAGTTGTAGTAGTACCATTAGCAGTAGTGGTAGTAGCATTAAAAGTAGTTGTAGTAGTAGTAGTACTAGTAGCATTAGCAGTACTAGTAGTTGTAGAAGTGGTGGTAGTAGTAGTAGTAGTAGTAGTAGTAGCATTAGCAGTAGTAGTAGTAGTAGTAGCATTAGCAGTAGTAGTAGTAGTAGTAGCATTAGCAGTAGTAATAGTTGTAGAAGTAGTAGCAGTAGCAGTAGTAGTTGTAGTAGTAGTAGTAGCATTAGCAGTAGTAGAAGTTGTAGAAGTAGTAGTAGTAGTAGTAACAATATAATGAAGTTAACATTTGGGTGAGTTAATATACTGTAGTTTCAGAAGCAATATTTGATAAAACCTAAAAATCCCCAAAAACAAAACATAGATTCAAAATGTATAAAACATATTCATATTCTTGCAGCACATATTTTCTGCTCTCACTAAAATCTCATATTTTCCTTCTTTGAGGTTTCAGGTATTTCACAGCTCGCAGTGTCCTTGGCAGCTGTGTAAAACCATCTAATCAGCTCTTTATGTCACTCATTTATTCAATAACAAGAATTCTCATTATTAGATTTTTTTCACTTTCAGTCATGAGAAGTTGGCAGACACCTTGACTGGGCATGTTACTTATTGATTCTTATGATCAACACTGGCTCAAACACATGCACAATTTTTCAGATTTTGCTCACAATTTCCCTTTCCAAAAAAAATGTTCCCAGTTTCACTAATTAGTTTCAAGATAGAAACTAAGTTAAACAGACTCAGTAAGAGAAGGCGCTGCCAGAGCTGGATCCAAGTTTGTACGGAGCCATCTGACGCTACACCCGCCTTTGACTTCTACAATTTCATATTTGGTTGCAGCCGTGAGTCTTTAGTGAAGAAAAATTGGAGGAGTATTGAAATCACTGGGAGAGAAATTGCTGAATTACACCCACTCCGACGCACTCTTAAGAAATGGGGTTATTATAATATGTAAAAGCACAGTCTATAGTTGATATCACACACCAAGAAAAAAA